AACTAATCCCAAATAGGGACAGCTAGAAGCAACAGTGGACCCAGACATGACAACATACCAACTGAAAATAAAGGAGATTCCATTTCAGTATCATCAACCAAAAAAGTTATGATACATGGAGATAGAAAAGATGTCAAAACAATCAGCATCATAGACTAAGAAGATAAAATCCATTTACATCCAAAAAGAAGAAAATATGTCGAAATAGTCAAAATTGCTTATGAAATAAAAATAAGTGATTCATATTTTATCTCTCCGAGAAATAATATTTATCCCAAAATAATAGCCATAGGAGGAGGAGACCCTTCGTTTTTAAAAACTATGGCAGATTATAGATTCATGGATTTCATATATCCATCAAAAGATTTGACTGGAATTTCGAAGTTTGATGATATATTCATAAAAGAAGTATCCAGATTTGCCAAGAGACGGAAAATATATTTGAAATTCTATTCAATAAGTCCAGAATATGATGGAGTTGTTTACTATCCAGTTGAACACATAATCTCAATTGGATGTGTTGCAGCCAATTTTCAAATTGTTGTTACAGAAAATAATAGAAAAGTTCCGATAGTAACAAAATCATGAATCAGACATAAAAGAGCGCTTGGAATTAAAGCCATTTACAACATTGCCAAAAAATTTTATGATAAAAAATCCTCATGCTTGTGCAAAAATGAAAATTGGATGCTAGTATCCAACGGAGGATATGGAAAATTAGAAATTTTAAAAGACTATATTACAAGATTCGATATACATCAATTTTCATGATGTCCTACCATTATAAAAGAATCATGCCAACTAAGAGAGCGCCCCAACTGCATGTGAAGAAATAAAAGAAGAGGACAATAATAGAGCACTTTTGACAAAGGTGTATGAAGAACAATAATACGGCAGCATATGAAGATGTAGGCCCAAGGAGGAAAATAATAGAGAGGCAAGTGTGCATTTGCTGGTGTACTCAATGATGTAATAGAGTCTCATAAACTTGTATAAATAGAGACATTGTCGTAGATAGAAATCATCTCATTTTATATTGAAATCTCGAGTTGTAAGCAATAGTTACTCAAAAAACTATTCCCAGTTTGAAAAATCAGTTTTTTTTAGAAATCCTTTTGTACCAAATAGAAGTCTTGTATAAATTATGATAGAAATAAAACTCCAATATTTTGATATTAATATGAGTTTTTAAACCTTTATTCCCATAGATTATTGAAGGATCTGATAAAAAGTTTATTTCTTATTTTAGCAAAAAGAAATTTTTCCTTTAACAGAAGTTTAGAATTTTATTCTTTAGAAGTTGATACAGTGAGATCAAGTAGCTGAAATAATAACAATTCCATGAAAGCAGGAGGCCGTTAAAGGAAACAGTTTACAGATTCAGAACTCGAAAGTCACTCGATTTTAAGAATAAAAGTCTAGATCAAACCTAAGGTAAAACTATTAAACTTTTGCTAAAATTAGAATGAATTTTTAAGATCTTAAAGAATCGTAGGGATTAATTGACGATTATTTGTATGAATAAATGTCAAGATATATAATTGAAGGATTATATAATCTATTGGAAAGAATGTTATAAAAAATAAAGAATATTATCTCTCAATTAGAAAATATAAATTTACCATTTGAAGAATATAGCCTTTTAATTGGAAAATATGAAATATATGTTGCAGATTATTCTTATTTAGGTCCCGTTTGGTAGGGATTTTGAGAATTGATTTTTTGACCGTTAGAAGAAAAGTGGGGTCCACATGTGAGAGAAGAAGTCAAAAATTACGGCTTGAATAGTAAAATAACGGTCAAAAAATTAATTTTTTGGGGCAAAAAAATTCCTACCAAACGGGGCCTTATTAGGCGCATGTTTGGTTCCCATTTTTTTCTCATTTTTTCCAAATTTTTTCTCCACAGTTGCGGGCCCCAGGGAGACAAAAGGACGGTCAACTGACAAATACAGAACTTGCCGAATTGTACACTATAAGGATGAATCTTGAATATTTGTTCTTGTCAAATCTACCCTTGAACTGATCTTGGGTGCTTTTAAAAAGAGGATGACAAGGATGTAATTACTAATTGTTTCTGAGGGCAAAATAATCAGTGGATTTTCAACGACTCTCTCTCTAGACAAAATCTGAACTTGCTGCATTTATTTATCAGAAGAATACTGTAGCAAAATGAGATTTAAAAAAAGAAGAGATTAGAATGGGGATCAAACAGGCACTAGATCATAGAATAAATTTATATTCAAATATTCAAAGTAGAAGATAAAATATTTAAAAGATTAAAATATATGTTGCAGTATAGAAAGAATGATTTTATTAAGGTAATATTGACCTTTCAATAAAAAGATACTGATGGGAGAAATAGCCCTCGTTTGAGCCTCATTCTTTTGAGAAGAATGAATTTTTGAATAGTGTATTGATGAGAAAAGTATGGTTATAAAATAAGGAAAAAATTTGAATTTTTGTGTAATATTATTTTATTGAAAAATGTGTGATTAAAATGACGTCAAAATACTGTTGAAAAATGATTTTTTTCCAAAATAATGGGGCTCCAACAAGGCATAGAAAAACCTCCCCTTCAGCGGCTTCCCTCAAAAAATACTGAGCTTTTGCCTTCAATTGAAGCAAGAAAATACCATCTGGATCTCGCCCAATTCAAGAAGTACGATATCCAAATTCCTCGAATATGGAGGAGTATGATCCAATCTGGAATGACGCACCAGATTCTCCTTCAAATTCATTGTCTTTCGATAGGGCTCGGCACATACGTTTTCTGGAGATGATGTACCAACTTTTGCCATCGCCATATCAAAGCCAAGAAATCAACCGTTTTACTCTCGCGTACTTCGTCATTGCTGGCCTCGATATCCTCGCTGCTCTTGATCGCGTAAGCTTCTTTTGAAATTTTATTCAATTTTGATCCATTTGGGATTATCATTTTCCGGGGATTCGAAGGTTTTGAAATTCAAATTCCATAAAATGTATGAGCGAATAAATAAGAAAGCTTTGTGTCTAACGTAAGCCAAAATATAGTAGAGAAGCTTCAGAACCGATGGATAATTTTCTCAAATTTCTGTGGACTAATAAAAATTTGTCTTTGGATCCAAAGCTTGTGGAATCTTTCCTTTAGATGTAAATTGTGTTTCTTTAGAGGCGAAACCAAATATTGGGGTTAGTTCTTGCAATTTATGTAGTCACTGGAAATTTTTATTGAACATTGAAGTAGTTTGTGTGTGCGTGTTTTTTTCTTTTGTTTTTCCCCCTTTTCTGCGTCCCTGTATAGTGTTTATTTATAGTTTAACTTTGGGTATGGATGCACAATTTATTGGGTTTAAAATGGAAGCTCCTATTCTTCAATTTTTGGGATGCCGGCCTCATTGATGGGAAAGGAAATGGACACCAGTTAATATTAAACCTTTCTTTCACAAGTTATGCCAGAAAACAAGTGGAAGGTAAAAAATTGGACGCCCTTCCCCCCTCAACCTTTTTTTCAAACAATAGAAGAGGAAGAAAGACGATGTAAAGGTTTGGCAATTTTATAGTATATTGAATTATGGAGAAAGGCTAATATTAGACATTAGTGATCTAACTAGGCAGTTGCTCTGAAGTTCTATGACATGCTTCCTGAACATGATTTTTTGTGTTCTCCAAATTGATAAAGAAGCAGTAATTCATTGAGTTTTGTCATTGCGAGCTCATCTAAAGAATAATGTTGAATTGGACACTGGTAAGGTTCTTTGTTTTTGCATACATGTTTACTTTTTGGGCAGATTTAAGGCTATAATTAGTATGGTGTATGTTTTGCCTAAAAATTTTGATTATATACAGGACAATATTATGGGTTCCATGGTTCTAGAAGTTCTCAATATCATTTGACCAATGAACAAGTTATGCACAAAATGATTTTGGCAGAAATCCTATTGAAATGTTGTAATATCCCGAAAATTTTCATAGAATAGAATTTAATTTTTTATGTTATATTTTAATGTTTTTTAAAAGTTAAGGACTAAAATGATATTCGGGTCATATATTTAGATATTGACCGAGTAATGATAAGTATATGAATATTAGGCTCGTTAGATAGGTCGTCGTTAATCATGCATATTAGGTTCGAGAAAATGTTAATTTGGATTAGCGGAGCCCAAGTTATCGAGGTTGAAAGATATGACCTTAAATTATATTTTAGTTGAGTATTTTAATGAATTTAAATATTTCAAGGGGTGGCACGTGTACAGAGCTTTTGGGTAGGATATCAATTGATTAAATAAACATTTTATAAAAAAAAAGGAGCTATTGGGCGGCCACGTGTTGGAGTTGTTGAGAGTTATGAATTAGTTTCTATTTTATTTTTTCATATTTTAGTGTAAATTTTCCTAGCATGCCAAGTGTCTCATATAGTGGTTGGTTGAGATATGTCATTTTGCATAATAGAGACGTGTGCATGAAACCTACCATTTTCTTCACAAAGTTCAATACCCTCATCCCCACTTTCTATAGGTTTTTATTATATAATATAAATTATGGAAGCAACAACTTTTCTATACCATATACATGCATGGTAAACATAGCAGAGGCAGAAAAAAAAAAGGGAACGTGAACATAATTCGAAAGTGTATAAATTAAACCCGGAAGAGGGTATTTCGTGTAAATTCACTTGAATAGTTTTGTAGGTATAAGCCTCCGACTTTCGACGATGGTTCTGACCCACTAACTGTTGAAGAGTGGATTAGAGGTCTAGAGTGCATCTTTTGACATATTGCTTGTACGGATGCATAGAAGGTGCTGTGTGTAGAATTCATGTTTATTGGAGTAGCTAGTCACTGGTGGGAATCTTTTCACGTACTAGGACAGAAGAGTAGCAACGTAACTTGGCTCTGATAACACACTGTAACGACCCCAAAAATTTATAAGTCGCTACCAAAAGTTTAAAACAAAATTTTATATTTTGCAAATCCTTTAATTACTTATGAATGAATAATAATTATCACTAAATTTCAACATTATATAATATATATTCTTCATTATAATTTCGTTAAAGACTTTACCCGCCAATTTTAATAAATTTACAATTAATAAATAATATTTCATATTAATTAGTGCGTACGTGAGATGTAATCAAATGTTCTATTTTCCCTCAAATTTTTTTTGCTAATTAAAACCACACCACTATAATTCCTCTAAAGTATCTCTTCCAACATTTTTGACCCGTGGTTTTATTTCATCTTAATTGATTTCCTGATGAGTAGTCAAGGTGGTCAGCTCAGGGAGAGTAAAAGTGGAGAACGAGTGTAATAAGTTAATCATTCCATCTTAGATTTCATTTATATTGCAATACACTAATGTATTATCACTAAATAAAATTTTGTTTCCACTAATGTAAGATAACACTTAAGGGAAATCAAACAATTTAATTCAAACCTTTAAATAAAAGCGCAATTTAAAAATATCCATGTAACAAATAAAATATATGATAATTCAATTAAAAATAAATGTCTATCGCAATAAAATTAAAAGAAATAAAGTTACGTGCTAAATTCTTTAGATTTTCATCCAGCGAAACAAGGCATAACACTCAATTGAATCGTCATGTTCCGACACGACCCGTTCTAACCTGTAAGGTGTAGAAAAAAATGGAAAGTACATGGGAATACTTAGTAGGGCATAAAAATTAATGGTGCAATCCCGAATTTTTTTTTAAAACACGTATCAAAAAATCATATTGTCTCATATCTTTAAAAATCGGTAAAACCTCATATCATATCATATCATTTGTATCGGAACAGCCATATCATTCATATCATAGCATGTCATATCATATCTTTAGCTTTCATGAGTACAATAATTCATTAACATGAAAAAAATAATTAAATGGGATAGAATACATTGCACCTCGATATACTACCTTGTTAACTTGCTTTAATTTTTGGAAGACAAAACAAAATTCACGTTCCAACAATTCCTTTTTCTGCCTCTGCTTGTGCCGTGCATGTATGTGTATGTGTGTGTGTGTGTGTGTGTGTGTATATATATATATATATATATATATAGAGGCAATTATACAAGAGTTGGTACATTGTGGGGAAACATGTGGGATGAGGGTGTAGAAAATGGTAGGTTGCATGCACACGTCTCTATCATGTAAGGTGACATATTTTAACCAACCACTTTATGGGACACTTGGCAAGCTAGAAAATTTTTGCACCAAAATATAAGAATAACGAAATAAAACAAATTGATAATTCCTCAGCAACCAATCCACAAGTGGCTGTCTCGTAACCTTTTTTTTTTTTTTTTTGTAAAATCTATTTTTAATTAAAAAAATCAATCACTATCCTACCAAAAAATCTTGCTCTATACACGTCAACCGTAAAATTTTTTGAATTCATTAAATAATCAACTAAAATATAATTTAAGGCCATATTTTTCGACCTCGATAACTTGGCCTCCGCTTAATCAGATTAACTTTTTCTCGAGCTAATATACATGATTAATTACAATCTATCCAACGAGCCCAATATTCATGTACTTATCATTATTCGGTCAATATCTAAATATTTGACCTAAATAAAATTGAAATTTACTATGTATTACTTTCGTTCCTAACTTTTCAAAATATTAAGATATAACATATAAAAATTTAATTCTATTATATGAAATTTTGGGATTTTACAATTTTGTTGTTGTCTTCCAAAAATTAAAGCAAGTTTACAAGGTAAGATAATGAGGCGCAGTTTATTCTATCCCGTTTAATTATTTTTTTCATGTTGATGAGTTATTATACTCGTGAAAGTAAAAGATATGAATAATGTGGCCATTTCGGTACAAATGATATGATATGAGCTATTACTGGTTCTAGAAGATATGATAATGGTATGATATTCTGACACATGTTTTAAAATTTTTTATTCGGGATTGCACCATTATTTTTATATCCTACTGAGTATATCCATGTACTCACCATTTTACCCACACCTCACAATTTAGAACGGGTCGTGTCGGAGCATGGTGATGCGCTTGAGTGGTTGTGCTTTGTTTCGCTGGACGAAAATCTAAAAAAAAAAAAAATTAGCACGTAACTTTATTTTTTTAAGTTTTATTGTAGTAGACATGTATTCATAATTAAATTCTTGTATATGTTTATTTGCGTGTGGATATGTTCAGATTCATTTTAAATAAAGATCGAATTAAATGTTATCTATTCTACCTATTTCACTGTTTGCGTATGGATATTATTTTTGATTTTGTCCTTATTGCCAAATCCATGTCAAAGATTTTTGTATTGTTCTGTGGCATCTATAGTCAAAAGTATACGCAAGTTTGATGTACTACCTCCCAGGATTTATGAAACATATGATCAAAGCATGATGCCTTTACTTGTCACATCACATTTTCCTTTGTCTTCTTTGGTATACACGTGTTATTATGCCAAATTGGAGATTTAAACATTGAGCAACTTTAGTAATTGAATCACAGTTCCCATGCATGTTTAATTAATGAGATCTACTACAAAGATATTAAATTGGGTGAATTTTGAAATTGTGTCCCGCTCATAGAAGAAAGAGGAAATAAATTATGCCATATTATCATGATTTCGCAAAAAGTGAGAAATAAAAAATTTGGTTAGTTAACGTTTTGTGCATACTGTTTTATTTTGTCTATAGAACTCTTCATAGCATTGCATTGATCGATCATTTTAATTGAAAATTTTCCAACAATAAGCAATTTACAAAATTTACTTGCCAATAATCCAACTTTATTTGAGTATTTCAAAGGATGTGCCAGTTTATGATGAATCATATGTGGATTAAAATAAAATTGACCATTTTATAAATAAATTTTGGTAGCAATTCAAATCTTTAAAATTTTGGTCGTTACAAATGCTGTATTTTCTTTCGTTGTGGTAGTTATTGAATGTTTTATTTTGTATTGATTTTCTACCTTCAGGTAGCAATCCCCAATGGAAGTCACCTGGCAAGCACGTACTGTGCCCTATCCATATTAAAGACAGTTGGCTATGATATATCACTCGATGACTCTAAATCTTTATTGAGATCAATGAGAAACCTTCAGCAGCCTGATGGGAGGTAAGGCACATAATGCTTCTTGTATTTGTTTTTATATCAAGTTGTTACTAAATTTAGAGTATGTCTTGAAGTCCTTAAAAGTTTCTTATAAGCACTCCCTGCATGTCTATAATTTAATGATCAAAGTCAAATGTTAATTTTAACCACATATTTTTTAGAGTCTACAACTACTACCCACTTATCAACCACTTAAGTAACTTGCAAGTTTATCCAAACAGGCAACTAGTCCATCAATTTAGTAGTTGGTTGTTGATTTACCTTCTCCCATTTCTAAGGAGAAACGGTTCCATTCATATATACATTATAGGGGAAGGGGCAAAGTGACTTCAGTCAAGAAGATATGAAGAATCTAGGCACCCTCCGCAACACTCTCACTTCCACTCTACTTAACATTTCTCCTCTTCTCTTCCTCTATAGATTCTATTTATAAAATTCTATTATAATTCTAACTCTGTATTTATCTGTATCTTGATCTACATCACATGTAACCACTGAATTCGTCATTGGCTTAATTTATCTCCAATTGCTGTTATGTCCTCTTGTTGGAATAGATTTTCGCTATTCAAAACAGTTTTTACACAAAAATATGTGTGGAAGTTTAAGCAGCTAGAGAGCGGACAATTATTTATTTAAATTTAGTCATCACCATGCCTTCACATGTTGATCAAATTTATATATAGATTTAATAAATGCACAATTTTCATAAATGGATGGCTCAAAGACTTGAACTTCTATATGTTGTGGTACCATATTGAACCAAATCATCTAAAAGCATAAAAGGACTTATTTATTTATTAAATTTAGGGTTTCACAATATGGAGAAGTGGGTAGTTATGTATATTGACGGCGATGATGGTTACTTTTTAGCTAAGCAAATGAGAGAGACCAAAAAGTGTCGCTAGTCTGAATTGCTTCCACTTCATAAAAATAAAGTATCTTAGGGGTAAATTTGAATTATAGTGAGACATATATAATTAAATCACGAGAAGTTTATGAGTGAATATCAGGGTAAGATAACTGGTGGCCAATGAGAGATTAAATTCTATTCTACAAAAAAGTGAACAATCTTTATTGAATTTCATGTCTAATACTGTTGGTCAATCTGATGCCCACGAATTTAGCTCTCATGATTTTTCTCTTCGTATTTGTTCTTGCTTTCCTTTAGAATGATGGGAAGTGGGTGTGAAAGGGAGAAGATGGATGTGGAAAATGGTGGAGAACCAGGATGCAGTTGTTCTTGGACTGTTTTTGGACTAGGAGCATGTTTGACAAAACATGTTTTGATAACTTCCTTTTTTCGTTACTTTTATGTAAAAAAAAGGTAATTATTTTGAAACTAACTCATTCCTTATGTTCAAAATAAGTAACTTATTTCCAGCATTGACCATTAAAAACTTTAGTTGTTTCAAAACTTACTAATGCACTTACGCTTTGTCAAACATGCTGTGGAATCAATGTTGATGGAGGAAGGTGTGTATAACATGGGTATGAAATGTGTATGCACAAGGGCACATGGTTTCAGATATAGTCATTTAACATTTTATTAGGGGGTGTTTTATTGCCATTTTTAGGTAAAAATGCATTTTATAATAGTAACTTGATGGGAAGTATATGGTTGAAAAATAAGGAATTTTTTTTTGATTTACGTGTAATATTATTTTAATAAAAAATGTCTGGTTAAAAAGAAGAGGGAGAAAAATGCGTTTTGAAAAAAATGGCTACCAAACGGGGGCTTAATTTACTTTGACTTCATTGCTGCCCTTCTAGTAATAATATAGTTATGCTGTTTTCAAGCAAAAGCTCTTGTGGTTCAACACGTATACTTTTCTGATCTAGTCTAATCAAATTATCTGCAAATCGAAGTTACTCAAAAGCTCCTCCATTAAATTTATAGCATAGATTATAAATTTTGTAATTTCCATAAGTACTTTATCCCCTGTGTATATGGATGCATGTAGGCTCGGTTATCACTTAGCAGTGCTTTATAAAAGGAGAAACTATGTTATATACGTTCAAGGTTTAATAGAAATAGAAAGAGACAAAGGAAAACAAAAAAAGTACTGGGATCACACCTAGGTGTCGTGACAACAGCCTGTTACAACTTCATACAACGAATATTTTCTAGGAAGCATAGAGTTCAGTTCGATGGAATTCAAATGATTTATTCAAAAGTAACATTCTGTTCTCAATCTTCCTTCACCCTTTTGTCCTTTTCATTTTCTCATGGTGTCATTATCTATCTCAATTTCTTAAAGAATGATATTCATTTGTTTCACTGTTATTTTTGGTCCCTGAAGGCTGAAACATGGCTGCTTTAAACAAAATTCTTCCTGTAACTTAGTTTTAAGAAATTACTCTTAGATCGACAAATGTTTACTGGAAAAGTGAGTCATTAATATTTTAAGCAATAACGTAGTTTTAAGAAAGTACTCTTTGATAAACAGCTTGTTACAACTTCAAAAATTTTTCTAGGAAGCACAGAGTTCCGTCCGATGGAATTTAAATATCTTGATTAATAGTAACCTTCTTTTCTCAATGTTCCTTCACCGTTTTATCCTTTTTCGTTTCTTCTTGGTGTAATTGTCTATCTCAGTTTCTTAAAGAATGATATTTATTTATTTCACTTTTATTTTTGGTACTTGAAGGCGGAAACACTTTAAACAAAATTCTTCTTGTAACTTAATTTTAAGAAATTACTCTTCGCTGGATAAATGTATTACTGGAAAAGTGAAAAATAAGTTATCAAATGTTTTTAGTATTTAATAGGTTGAAGGATGATATGGTGGTGGTTTTTACTCGATCCTTTTCTAAGAATGGCTCGAAAGACTGGACTCATAGAATTTATCTGAATGACTGATCTGGCCATCTTACTCATCGTATTTCATCTGTCCCAGTGTTATGCCCATTCATATTGGGGCAGAGATGGATCTCCAATCTGTATTTTGTGCAGGTAAGAGGATGCTTTACAATTATTGTTCTGAGTTTTAGTTGCTGTTGAATATGAATTAACCAAATATTTGATGCCGCGGCCATTTGTTCCATGTTGAAGAACTGAAGTGGCATGGACAGGGAAAAAGCTAAGGATTACAGAATAAGTTTCCAGGTATTTAATCTGCTATACATTCTTTTAGCCATCTTCTTTTGTTCTTCTTTGATGTAACTTGCAGTCTGTTCTTCTCTGTTATGGCATCTTTCTATTATTTTCCGATGTTTTCTTCCCAGAATAATAAATTTTAAGTTCTTCAATATTATATGTACTTTGCAGTCATATGATGGTGGTTTTGGGTTGATACGTGGTTCAGAATCTCACGGTGAGTGGATAGGAAATTCCGTATCTTTTTTGATCTGTATTGATAGTGTATTGCTTGTATGACCGTGTATCAACTGTCTCCATTTTCATCTATCTCATCGTCTAATTTGTTACCTGCACTCTTTCTTCAAAAATTCACCTGTTAAATGGTTTTACATGAACTGGTGGTGAAAGAAAGTCTCCTCTTTAAGTATGAGCTGAGATGCAATTTTCTGCTGGAATCAGCCTTAATTAATAACTTGATAGCCCCCCTGATAAAAGGGCAGGGCACAGTGAGCATTGAGGCAAACAAGGCAGCAACTAATTCAGCCCCAGTTAGTAGAGTAGGGGTATTTTGGGAAAGAGCCCTTTGTAAGGGAGGGGGAATAAATGTATTGGGGGGAGTTAAGGGAGTTCATTCACGCTCTTTTGGTTGAGTCATTGGGAGAGTCCAAGCCTCTCAAATGCCATGGAGCTGTCTCAATTTTATTCTTGGCATTCAATAAATCACAACTCATTTTTTTTGTGTCCAATCTTGTTTATATTGCAAACTCAGTGATTATTTCCAGTTATATAACTTCTGTTGGCAGTTTATAATCTCACTTCTGTGTTGATCAGGGCTGGCTCCTATCGAGAGCACTGCAGAATTGACCGGATCACAGAAATTCAGTTCAGGTACTTATCATAACTCTGTTCATAGATTAAACACTGTGTGTTCAGTAATATCAAGCTAAATTTTTGTTCGCTCAACAACAGAAGTTTATAGAAGAAGCTGGACATTCTACTGCTTATACCACAGTATATCATGGCTAACAACAATGAAGTAGCCAATTTAAAAGCCATTGATGTGGCCGCCACCACCAGAAACAGGAAAGGGAAATGAAAAAATATAGGAGAAAACACGTTTTAAATATTTAGGTTCTATATGCAATAAAAGACTAACTACCCTTTCTTTGCTGCCTGAGAACAGATGTGCCGAAGACAATATCTCATTATAATTATTAAGATAGGCCTTACCGAATTTTGATTCCATTGGTACTTGGTGAGAATCTGTGTCAACATCTAGTAAATAGACTAAATTTTATTTGGTGATCAATTTAATTATTGTTGCTATTATAAGGAGAAAAAGAACTAAAATTTCACCTGCTGGTAGAGACAATTACAAGAACCAACCTGCAGAATCCCTTTGACTAAAACAGAATCGCATTTCAATCCCACACAATTGGTCATTTAGTTTCTTGGTTCCTGTATAATTTTGTCTGCTTGAAACTAAGACACGTTACGAGTATAATCTGAGGGAAGTTGTGATAAACTGGACATGTGTCCCACTTTTGTTTTACTGCGGAATGTATTACATTGAACCATGAATATTAATCGATTTAGTGCAAATTGTTGCACTCATGGACGGTAATTCTTTTAGTGTCGCAGATAGTGCCAACTACTGTGCTGTTGCATCTCTCTGACTGATGGGATTTATTGATAAAGATATACTGTCCCAAAATGCATCTTCTTGCACCATAAACATGCCATTGCTTCTTTATTGGAGCTTACAGGTTTATTTTCTAATTTAGGTTAGAGGACAATGACTAAGCTTCACCTTAGTTCATGGAAAATGAAGGATATACAAGCTCCCTATGGACATTTATTCCATTAATCAATACCACCACAACTCACCCCTTTTCTCATGATATTGATGAGTCCAATGCTATATTTTTTGATGTGTGTTTTTCTCTGACGAGAGTGATTTCAGTCTCTGTCTGGTGCAGAGGCAGGCACAAGACGGTGGCTTTCAAGGTAGATCAAATAAGCCACCTGATACATGTTATGCTTTTTGGTATGGTGAATGATCCTTGCATATGCTCAGTTTATTCAATATGTTTGTCATGACTTTACAATGGAATTGTGCTTCTATAGGGTTGGAGGAGTTCTAAAGATCTTGGGACGACAAATTCCTTGATGAGGGAGGGAGGTTTGCATGGGTTTCTATTAACATGTCAGTCAGAGGTGCTTATGTTTCTCCTTTTTGCTTTGGTGGCTTATAAATGAAGAAAAACAATAGTGATATAGATTTCTATGGCATCATAAAATACTTTTAACATCCAAAAAATCTCATATGAGTAGAGAACACATGAACATGCACACAGACATGCAACTGCACAATATGAGAAATTGACCTTTGGAACCTTCTACTTCTTGAGGTCAAATAAACTATGCCAGGCTCTTGAGACTGAGCATAAGAGCCTTGAGCTAGGATGAATAGAGAAGTATGGAGTTTGAACTTGAGCACGATTTGAGCCTAATTCAAGCCCAAGCTGAAGGCTGAGAATATGAAAATAATTTTTCTCATCTTACTGGTAAACTAATAGATACATATTTATACATGTGTGATGCTACACGTACACTTTCCGTGAATATAATGTTTGACACCCCCCTCACATGGAGGGGGGCCCACACATGACCTCCCTCCATGTGGGGGGGGGGGGGGGGGGGGGGTGTTACCCATTATATACACGGAAAGTATACAAGTAGACTAATCCTTTACATATAGCACGCATTATTTTATAAATGGAAAATGAGTAATTGAATGTGATTGTACGTTTGCAAACTGCCACTATCAAGCTCAAGCTCAGCTTGGACTTGAATAAATTGGAGTTGAGCATAGCTTTTGCCATGCTCAGACAGCTTGCAAGCTTGCTTGACTCATAGACTGCCCTCAGATTGAGGTTCAATGTCCATGACTTACCTATTATTTAATTACTTTGTACTTTGAATGTGGTTGCTTGGATTAGTAAAGAAGCTATTTGTCTTCAGCCCCCCTCCCCTATATTGTTGTCCGCTTGTCCTTGTAAGACGTTTAGATAGAATGGTTCATTTACATGCAAGCTGTAGTGGCTCCTTTTTTTCTAGAAACAATCTCTGGATTGATGATTTCATTTTTTCAGTAAATTCCCAGGTTTGCTGCCGGATCTTTACCATTCTTATTATGGATTTTGTGCATTTAGTCTCTTGAAGGAACCTGATATCAATGCTCTGTGTTGAATTGGGTATAACAGCTGTTGCTGCAATTGGGCTCTGACTCGTACTTATCATTTTTCGCTGTTATAGTACAATTTGGATCTGGCCTCCATGCTACAGTATTGGAGAGTATGCTTTATATTTTCTACTATATTTGATCTGTATGTAACTCATTATTTGGCTATTTATGTATAAGTAACATTATTCTTTTGCGATATATGTATGATACAGCATTGTGAGACATTGAGCATAAAGTAATCATATGAAATCATTCATACTCTTGCAATGATTTAAATGACATTAGGCATATAAGCTCTGAGGCTATCTTCAGCGCTGCACCAAATTTTATATCAAATTAAAATTCATTTTCAACCATTACACCAAAATTTGTACCAAATGAATATTGTTTAGCCATTTTCTTTCCTTTTTTTATTCTTAATAATATATTTATTTGAAATATTATTTATGTAATTACTTTATAAATACATAAATTACTAAATAAATAATTACGTTAAATTACGGAAAAGATTAAATTTATTAAAAAATATAAAAAAAATATAGTACAATTAATAAAAATACTACAGCAATGAAAATATTAAATCATGCCATTTAAAAGTAGTGCAATGTATTTTGAATTAGGATATTACAATATTACAAAATCGAAATATTATTGCAATTTAATTCTCGAAATTCATAACGTTTTCTTTAAATAAAATTAGATTATCGTATGTATGTCGTCGTTTAATATATTTCGTTTTAACTTTAAGAAATAATCGTGTTTGTTATTTTTTTTTCTTCTTTTAATTAATTCATTAATTATTGTTTTTTATATTTTAAACTTATTTTAAATGCAAATAATATTATTAATAATTTATTGTATTAAAAAATATATAGCACAAATAATATAAATACCCTTAATCAATTTGTTTGGAAAAGGAAAAACGAGGGCAAAAATAATATTATACACTTTGCGCCATTTGCACCAAAATGGTGCAAAGTTTGGTATCACATTGGAGCAAATTTGCACCAAAATTTGGTGCATTTTGGTGAAATGTGTCGGAAAAAAAAATGGTTTAATGGGTCAACTTTGAGCCCAAATTTCAGTGGGACCCACCTTTTAAATAATACGGGACCTAGCATATTCACGTTCTACTCCGCGAGATGATTAACGTGATATATTTATTTATCGATAACCATTTAAAATTGAATGAAATATTAAGTGTTAAAGTAACCCACATAAACTAAGGATTATGGAAGAATTTGATTTATCAAACACTTATCCCACATATGAAAGTTAGAAAACTTTGGTGTGGTTTATAAGGTGGAAGTTTGGAATTGGGTTTGGGCCCCAAGGGATACCATAGTTTTTGGAAGGGGGAAGACCTATATCCTATTGGGTTCGGTCATAAACCCACACGCGCGCGTCGCCACCGCCGTCCGTCCGACTGGCCGACTCGGCTCGGCACGGCACGGCACGAGCACGAGCATGTGCCCGTGCCCGAGCCCGAGTCCGAGTCCGGTTTGGTGCGGGTCCGGGTCGACCTTTACACTATATTAACTTTTTGGACAAAATTTATTTTAAAATTTGGACCAAATTGTAAATAATCAAATTCTTGGGTACAAAATGAAATTTAAATTTTGGCTTATTCTGGGTGTTTTATTTTCTTTTTAACAGTCGACTGTTTCGAATGTTTACCGACCAAACAGTCGACTGTTTACTGACCAAACAGTCGACTGTTAACCGACTTAACAGACACGACTTTTAAGAACAGTATGTCTGTTCGGATTTTTGAGGCTTGTCTGAAAGGTGATGACTGTTCGAATGGCCACGAACAAGTCTATAAATAGCCAGCCTTTCTACCAGAAAATTTACACCATTTTCATTGCAAACTTTCTGTGCTTTGAATCTCATTTCCCTCTCTCTCGTTCTGATATTGTCTCGAAGTCAAAAAACACTTCGTTGAGTTCGTTGGAACTCCTACAGACTGCAGTGCTGCTTCCGTAGGAGACGAAAAATTCGTTTTATCCTGGGAAACGATTGTTGGACGCCTGTAGCACCATTGAAGGCAGCAAATTCGTTTTAAGGACACATCGTGAAATCGGTGGGCTCGAATTACAATTTCGGATCCTGTTGATCAATTCTTGCATTCAGGTAATTCTGTCGGATTGTTTTCGAAGCAGTGAATTCAAACTCTAGAAACAACAATCTTAAAACGAATTTGTGTTTTTTCAAATATTATTTGTTTCTGTTTCTACTCCTTATCGTTGATCTTCTGATTGCATTCAGAAATGGCAACTTCTGGTACCACACCCCCGAATACGACCGGGGAAAAACCAGAAAAGTTTAATGTGTCAGATTTCAAGCGTTGGCAACAAAAAATGCTTTTTTATCTGACGACATTAAATCTGGCTAAATTTCTCAAAGAAAACGCGCCTTCATATACCGAGCAAGACAGTGATGCTGAAAAATTGGCTGCGGTTGATGCATGGAAGCATTCTGATTTCTTATGCAGAAATTATATGCTTAATGGACTAGATAACACATTATATAATGTGTACTGCAATGCTAAGTCTGCAAAAGAACTGTGGGAATCTTTGGACACAAAGTACAAAATCGAAGATGCCGGCACGAAGAAATTCATTGTCGGTCGTTTTTTGGATTATAAAATGCTTGACAACAAGACTGTCATATCCCAAGTTCAAGAACTTCAGATCATACTTAGCGACATCCATGCCGAAGGAATGAAATTAAGTGAATCATTCCAAGTCCCTGCACTAATTGAGAAATTACCACCTTCATGGAAGGATTTCAAGAATTACCTCAAGCACAAGCGGAAGGAAATGAAACTTGAAGATATCATTGTCCGTTTGAGAATAGAAGAAGACAATCGCAAAACGGAAAAAAGGAATGGTGCATCTACATCGATGGAACCAAAAGCCAACATTGTAGAAGGAGGCTTCAAGACAAGTAAAAAGAGGAAGCACAATGGGGAAGGACAAATTGGTTCTTCAAAAACTGCTAAAAAGTTTAAAGGCAACTGTTACAATTGTGGCAAGGCAGGACATCGATCCAAGGATTGTCGAAAGCCAAAAAATGTGAAGGGAAAAACTAACCAGGCCAATGTAACAGAACATGAGAACCTCACTGATAAGGTACAAGACATGAATCTTTCTGCGGTCGTCTCTGAATGCAACTTAATTGGAAACATGTAACTTAGTTGGAAACACTAAAGAATGGTGGGTGGATACTGGAGCTACTCGTCACATATGCTCAAACCGCGGGATGTTCTCTACCTACAAAGCAATGGATCATGATGAACATCTTTACATGGGAAACTCGTCATCTTCCAAGGTAGAAGGACATGGGAAGATAGTGTTGAAAATGACAAGTGGAAAAGAGCTCACTCTGAATGATGTTCTTCATGTGCCCGATGTTAGAAAAAATTTGGTATCTGGTTCTCTACTAAGTAAGAATGGGTTTAAACTAGTATTTGTCTCGGACAAATTTGTACTATCAAAGAATGAAATGTTTGTAGGAAAAGGCTACCTGAATGAGGGGCTCTTTAAATTGAATGTAATGACTGTTGTACCTCCAATTAATAAGAATACATCTTCTTCTTACTTGCTTGAGTCATTTAACATTTGGCATGAACGAT